CGTGGGCTTTGATTACATGCTGGTTGTTGACACAGAGGGCCTTCGTGCCATAGAGATGGCCAATAAACAGTCCCTGAACCATGACAACGAGCTGGCCACCTTTGTCATCGGCATCGGCAACATGACCCTGATCAACATCTTTGGGGAAAATCCCTCAGAAATGCAGGATGTTCTTCAGATCGCTGTGCAGGCTCTTCTGAGGATGAAGAAAGTAAATCTTTCCCCCGGTTGCCTCTTTGTCCACCAAAACGTGGGAGAAGTTACTGCCAAGGAGCAGAACATGGAAGGACAAAGACGTTTGCAGGAAAAGCTGGATGAAATGACCGTGGCAGCTGCCCAGCAGGAATGCTGTGACGTCTCCTCCTTCAGCGACGTCATCCGCTTTGACGTGAACACCCACATTCACTACTTTGCTCACCTGTGGGAAGGAAACCCCCCAATGGCACCACCCAACCCCACCTACAGCCACAACGTCCAGCAACTGAAGAGCAAAGTTCTCCAGGCTGCCAGGGAGTCCCAAGGCAGCATTTTGACGCTCTCCAGCCTGAAAGTCCGTATTGGTGACCTCTGGAATGCTTTGCTGAACGAGAACTTTGTTTTCAGCTTCAAGAATTCACTGGAGATTGCTGTGTACAGGAAACTGGAAACTGCCTTTAGTCAGTGGACCTGGAGGCTCAGGAGTCACATCTTAGACGTACAAATGAGACTCGACAACAGAATTCGGAACGGGGACTTGCAGCAAGTCACCAGAGAACACCTGGAAGGGCTCGTGCGAGAGACAAGTGATGCCATTGAGAAAGACATGGAAAAGTATTTCAGGGAAGATAAAAACTGTGAGATGTTGGTCCAGTGGAAAGGCAGCACAGAGTTGAAGCTGAAAGAACTAAAAGAGAATCTTCTTCATGAAACTCGGAAGAAATGTGAGAATCTCATTGAACTGCAGAAGACCCAGAGTAAAGTGGATGCAAGGAAGTCAGAATATGAAGACGAGCTCTTGAGAAGGAGCAGGGAGTTGGCTCTGACTCTGAAAGGCAACAGCCTCAGTGAGAGAGAACTGAGAGACAAGTTTACTTCTCTCTGGGCCAAGTGGATTGCTGAAGTCTCCCGTTCTGCTCCCCCACCAGAACGAGTGAATATTGATGCAGAAATAGAAGATGTCCTTCTGGAGCATTTTAAGGAGCCTGGTTTCCATGCACGGATCCGGTCATTTCCCAGACACAGAGGATTTTCCTTGGACTTGAAGAAACATGTCACAAAGAAAAGGGGTTGGAAAACATACCTCCCGTGGAATGATTCCAATGCTGATGTGAACTTGCAGGACATCACAGACAACATCATAAAGCGTGTGTGGGCAAACATTGATAAGAAGGAACAGGAGAAACGGGATTACAGTCGAACCTTTATTCATGAAATACTCCATGAAGTACAGGAAGGTGTGAACTCCGTCCCCAGCGATGCACCATTTAGGGTTAACAAAGATTACAGCATAGATTTATCTCTGTACCTCTGCAGAACGGCAGCAGAAAGGTTTAAAGCCATGCACGAAGCATTCCAGAAGGCAAATGACCCAGTCGTCTACCTGAACAGCAAGAGAGAAGATTTCTTCACATGTTTCCAGATGTCCTGCCAAGGAGCCACTTCTGTCACAGCTTTTGCTGTTTTCCTTTGTGACAAGCTTGCCCCAGCTCTTCGCCGGGCCGTCTATGAGAGGACAGCTAAAGACATCGCTGGTCGCATGCAAGGGAATGTCCCAGATTTCCAGGGCAACAGAGCCAATCTGGATGTTTGTATCCTGAGATTCCTGGCACAAGAACAAAACTTCCAGTATTTCAAGCAGTACCTTGAACATCCAAAAGAGTTTTTTCAGTGGTACATTGAGAGACGTGTTGAGAGTTACTGTTTAGGTGAGAGCCGGAGGCTGCAGAACTTTTTAGATTCCTCCCTTGATGTTCTCTATGGAAACATCCTGTCAGCTGTTGCTTCATCAACCCAAAGGGTCAAAGACAGAAAAGACCAAAAGGACAAAATCTCTCTCTGGCTGGATGAATTTTGCAGGGGAACTGACAGAGCTGATGAACTTGCCCAGAAGTGACCTGAAGGGCCTCGAGCATCAGGAGATCACAGACATCGAGTTCCTGAGCAAAGCCATGGCAGAAGCACTGCCTGCCATGGAGAACGAACTCAGGGGAAAATTTGCTGTTGCTGATCTGAGCTGGTTTGAAAGGAAGCCTCACACCATCCTGGCAGAGCAGTTTTCGGGGTGCTGGGAGCAGTGTCCCTTTTGTGGGGCTGTCTGCACAAACACCATGCGGGGACACGATGGAGACCATCAGGTTCTCTTCCATCGACCACAAGCTTTGAGGGGATGGAAGTGGCACAAAACAGATCACTTCATCATTGATATTTGTTCCAGCCTCGTTGCAAGTGACTGTCTATTCCAAATTGGTGATATCAGATGGACCCCCCACAAGAGATACCGGGATGCAGGACCTCCTTTCTCCAATTGGAAAATTCTTCCTGATCCATCCACGCAAGCCTACTGGAAATGGTTTGTGTGTCATTTCAGGGCCAATATAGAAACCTGGCATGGTAAGAAATTTCAAGGCAGAGGAGAAATCCCTCAGGCCTGGCAGAGAATTACCAAGCAGGAAGCACTTGCTGAGCTGGACAAGCCTTAGGCCACGTCGATGGAAGGAAGATGAAAGAAGATGAAGGAAGAACCTCCACGGCTTTGCAGTTTAGCAGAACAGAGTACAAGGCTGTCCACAAAATGCTGTTTCAATGCTTGTGCTCCCAAGCCCCATGAAGACAATGGGATCCAACTGCTCACAAACTGGGTGAAATAAGGTGCGTTACTCCGGCCGTCGCTCAGAAACTCCCTCGCTTCCTGATCAGCCAGAATCCTCTTCCCTTCCTGCCGTAAACATTTCCCTCTGCTTTGCCCTTGAGCAAAAGTATAAAAACCCTCCCACGGCTGCTCAGTCCCATGGCCAAGATGGAGCCCAAGTGCCAGGGGAAGGGCAAAGGCAGCACGAGAAAGCCCCAGTTGGATGAGCTGCTCTGAGGAAATAAGGGGCACTGAGCAAAGCCCAGCTTTCCTGCAGCACTGCAATCCCAGCACAAAGGGGGAACACTGTGGTACTGGGAAGATCATGGGACCCTCCAGTACCTGTCAGCCGAGGGACAATCCAGGTGTTCTGCTGCAGAGCCAACAACCACGTCCAACCCCCTCCTCAGGTGCCAAGCCACGACCCCCCCTCCCGTTAGGTACAGCAAGAGAACTTTACACCAACCAGAAACAAAAGGTAATTACAACTGAAGCCACTCCAGCTCCACCTAAACACAAAGAATTCGTATAAAAGTAAGTTGAGGATAGGGGGAAAATTGAGGAAGACTCCCCCGAACCTGCTGGGATCAGCTGAGGGGTTGAACCTGCCTCCCCCCCACCCCAGGGACGCCTGTGGGGTGAGAAATACACTCTGGGCAGGTTCAACGGTGCTTTAAGGAGCAGAGCTTTGGTCGGGCTCCCCCCAGAGGATATTGGCAGATTGCTTCGTGTTCCACCTTGGCCTTGCTTCCCAGAGCCCAGATTGCTTTCAAACACAGTTTTGCAGCCAGACGCTGCCGCCAACGCCCACGAACCTTATTAACCTGTCCCAGGCGGTGCTAATAAAGAGTGTGATTCCAGGAACTGGGAGAGGAGTCCTTTCAGTCGCCAGCAGCAGGTCCCACCTTGGCAGGGGCAGGGCCGGCTGAGGCAGTGCTTTAACTCCCTGCTCCGGAGGGCCCTGCGTGTGCCCAGGGCAGCCGTCCCTGCTCAGGGGCCTGGGCCTGCTGCACTTCCCTCCAGCTCTCAGCCCCACCGGCAGCTGCTCCTGCCCTTGGCCTGGCTGTTGAGCAAAAGCCTTTGCCGTGCCCCCTGTGCAGGATCCCGTGGCCCAGCAGCTTCCTCCCAGCCCCCGGGGCAGCGCTGGTGCTGTCCAGGCAGCCTGGGGGCACCGGAGCCGCGCTCTGGAGAAGCTGGGACCAGCTGGGGCTGCCCCGGGGACGGCCGTGGGGGTTGGAACTGAGGTGGCAGTGCCCCTGCCGGGCTGCCAGGGAGCCAGGAGGGAAAGCAAAGAGCTGCTGGCGGGGGGTGGGACTGGAAAGCCCAGCAGGGACTGCCCGGGGGGTCTGTCTGATGCACAGGCTGGGAAAGAGGGGGCTGGGCAAGGCAGGGGACGGGGCTGGGCTGACAGGCTGGGAGGAGGCCGGGATGGGGCTGGAAGGGGAGAGGGGCAGATCTGAGTGGACCAACTTGGATTTCTTTCCCTTCTCCCCTTTACTTTCTTTTCCTTCCCTGCTCCTTCTGCCTCCCTCTGCTCTGGAGCCAGGCTGGGAGAGCTGAGGGTGCTCCCCTGGAGAAGAGAAGGATCCAGGCGGACCTGTGAGCCCCTTCCAGAGCATAAAGGGGCTCCAGGAGAGCTGGAGAGGGACTGGGGACAAGGGCTGGAGGGACAGGACACAGGGAATGGCTTCCCACTGCCAGAGGGCAGGGAGAGATGGCAAATTGGGAAGGAATTCTTCCCTGGGAGTGTGGGGACGGGCTGGGTTGGGATTCCCAGACAAGTTGTGGCTGCCCCTGGGTCCCTGGGAGTGTCCAAGGCCAGGCTGGACAAGGCTTGGAGCAACCTGGGAGAGTGCAAAGTAAGGGGAGTTGAACTAAAGGTTCTTTAAGGTCCCTTCCTATCCAAACCATCCCATAATTCTAGGATTCACCTTCACGATGCTGTGTGAATTTCCACAATGGTTTTCTGTGGGAAAGTTAAGTAGAGGAATGTATCCCACAGAGGAATATTTTTACATGTCCTATACATGACAGAAAATGCAGAAATCACAGCTCCAGGCCACAGGTTTGTCAGAAATTAAAAATTCAGGACCAGTTCTGTGAGGGTAAGAAACAGGCACCTGATAACAGCATTTATGCTTGATCCCACAGTCAGTCCAACAGATCAGGGTACCTGAATCACACTGAGGAGCCTCTCTGGGCAGCTCCCACTTTTCTGGCCTTGTTTCCTTCTCCAAACATTTAACCGACAACCTAAAAAGACGGGGTAAAAGGAATTTTGTCTGTTTGGTTTTTCCTCTGAGAAAGCAGCGGTTTTCCACAGAAAAATTACATTCCCCCGTATTTCGCAGACACAACACGGCGCTGCTTTTGCCCTGGTGGTGTCTCCCGCTAATCCCAAGCGCTGGAGCCGCACCCTCCGTGTCCCAGCAGCCGCTGTTCTGGAGCAGAGCGCAGCCCGGCCCGGCCCAGCCCCGCTGCCCGCACAGCCCGGGGCCGCTGCGCGCCGGGGCTCCCCCACGGGCCCCGCGGCCCGGCCCGGCCCCCGCTGGACGCTTCCCCCGGGCCCAGCCCGGCAACTCCAAACTCCCACCTGTCCCGGGCCGCGGTCGGGGGGTCCCGGCGTGTCCGGGTGGCTCCAGGGCCGGCGGGGTCCCCTCAGCCCCGGCCGCGCTCCAACGGTCCCTGAGGGGATCGGGGCCGCCTGAGAGTCACAGCGTGCCCCGAGAACCGTCCCCTCACAGCCGAGAGACACAGCCCGCCCTCACAACCGTCCCCTCACCCCTCACACACACAGCCCGCCCTCACAACCCTCCCCTCTCCCCTCACACACACAGCCCGCCCTCACAACTGTTCCCTCACCCCTCACACACACAGTCCGACTCACAACCCTCCCCTCACAGCTCCATCCACAGCCAGCCCTCAGTCCAGCCCCTCAGCTCCAGCCCCTCAGCACTCTACCAGTCCCCTCTCAAGCTCAGCCCTGGGGCAGTTCAGCACTCTCGGGCTCTAGTGCTGGGATTAGACCTTCAACAGCTTTACTGAAGCTGCAATCCCGTGTGCTCCTTCTGGATCGGGGCAATGCCAGACACAAACCCCCCCTGGGAGTGCAATGGATGGAGAGCAGCCCTGGGGAGAAGGACCTGGGGGTGCTGCAGGGGGAGAGGCTGGACGTGCTCCGGCCGGGTGCTCTGGCCCCAGAACCCCCCGTGGCCTGGGCTGATCCCCCAGGGATGGTGGGCAGCAGGGCAGGGGGGATCTGCCCCTCTGCCCCCTCAGCTGAGACCCCCCTGCAGAGCTGCCTCCAGCCCTGGGCAACAGCAGCACAAGGACGTGGAGCTGCTGGAGACAGTCCAGAGGAGGCCGTGGAGATGCTCCCAGGGCTGGAGCCCCTCTGCTCTGGAGCCAGGCTGGGAGAGCTGGGGGTGCTCAGCTGGGGAAGGGAAGGATCCAGGGAGACCTTGGAGCTCCTTCCAGAGCCTAAAGGGGCTCCAGGAGACCTGGAGAGGGACTGGGGACAAGGCATGGAGGGACAGGACACAGGGAATGGCTTCCCAGTGCCAGAGGGCAGGGAGAGATGGGAGATTGGGAAGGGATTCTTTGCTGGGAGAGTGGAGGCCCTGGCACAGGTTGCCCATTTTCATGATTCAGTGATCCGGGATAACAGGAACATGGTGGGTGATTTCCAATTAAGAACCCCAACCACTGCCCAGCTCCTGCTGCCTTTCATGGAAATACAGAATCATTAAGGTTGGAAATGACCTCTGATACCCACCTCTCACCCAACGACTTTTGCACCCAAACCAGGGAGCAGCTCCCCAGTTTGACTTTGACATTCTGCTGCTGTAAAACACCTGATATTCAGGAAATCAGTGATCGTGCCCCACAGCCCCTATAAAAGGGGGAAACAGCACCTACGGGAGAGCCGGGGCTGGATCAGCAGAGGGGCTGCGCTGGGCTTCTCTCACCTCGGGAGCTCCGCGCACGGACGGAGACGGTAGGACCTTGGGGCTGAGCTGCGGGGCTGGGAGCCGGGATCAGCACGGAGCGGGGGCTTGTTTGTCTTCTGCTTCCCATGCCGGGGGGTTCCCATGGCTGGGGAGATGCCAGGGAAGGAGCCCCTTCCCTTTGCAGCCCGTGCCCGGCCGCAGGCGGGGCCGATCCTGCCCGGCCCGGGCACCCCCAGCCCCAGGCGGGGTCCGGGGGCTGCGCTCCCCGAAGGCAGGACCGGGGGTGCTGGGGCCCTCCTGGGGCCGGGGGTGCTGCCTGTGCCCCGCGCCGCTCCTCAGGGAGCAGGGCAGCGCCCGGGGGGATGAGGGGCACTCCTGGCCCCTCCCGCTCCGGCCCCAGCCCGGGGGGGACACTTGGTCCTTTTCCTCCCGGGATTCCCCTCCCTTCCACTGGAAACTTCACCGCCCCCAGCGCTCTGGTCCCTGCTGCAGCCCCTCAAAGGCACAGGTGCTTCCAGAGCCCATTGCCCTGGGGAAGGGAGGGAAGTTGGGAGGGGACAGAGCTGGCACAAAGGGGCCTGAAGGGACAATATCCAGCAGTGGCCATGAGCCAGCAGGTGCCATCCCGAGCAGCTGCCCTGCACTCAGAGAGGAATCAGGGGCTGAAGTCCCTCCCTTGCTCTGCCAGCACGCCCAGTTTTCCTCTGCTTCCTCAACTCCCCTGATCTCGCCCCAGTCCTTTTTCTTCCCTCTGCTTTCCCCCTCCTCTGCCCCATCCCACTGGTGGGAGTGCAGGAGCTGCTGGAGGCTCTCCTGGAGCCCCTTTAGGCTCTGGAAGGGGCTCCAAGGTCTCCCTGGATCCTTCCCTTCCCCAGCTGAGCACCCCCAGCTCTCCCAGCCTGGCTCCAGAGCAGAGGGGCTCCAGCCCTGGCAGCATCTCCGCGGCCTCCTCTGGACTCTCTGCAGCAGCTCCACGTCCTTGTGCTGCTGTTGCCCAGGGCTGGAGGCAGCTCTGCAGGGGGGTCTCAGCTGAGGGGGCAGAGGGGCTGTAGGACCCCCCTGCCCTGCTGCCCACCATTCCTGTGGGATCAGCCCAGCACATGGTGATTTCCAGTTGCCATCACACACAGCCAGGTCATGTCCATCTTCCCCCATTCCTTGTCCTGTCCCACAGCAGGAGCCCTCTGGGCTCTTCCCTCTCCATGCAGGTGAAGGACACAAGTCCTGCTCTTCCCGGCCCATTGCTGCCTGCATCCCTCTGCCCCCCCAAGCAGGAGGTTGCTGTTCCCAGCTGGTGGTTTGGGACATCTGCAAAACCGGGAGCCCCTCCTGGATGTGCAGTGCAGGAGCAGGAAGCTGCTCCCCCTCCCAGATCCCTGTGGGCACACAGGTCCCAAAGGGGCAACCACAGGTGTGTGGAGGGGAAGGAGTAGGTGAGGTGGGTGGCAGTGCCAGGCCTGCTGGTGCCTTTGGCCGCTGGACCCTTTTCCAGGTGCTGGAGGAGCCTCCTTGCCCAGCACACGGAGCAGGGCCGGGTCCAGCTCTTGCCTCAGGTGCTCGGCCCATGTTTCAGGACGTGCAGGGCCGTCCCCTGAGCAGTGTGGGCTGCTGGGCTGCCCCTCCCGGGGCCCTGGAGCTGCACTCCCAGTCTGCTGCGGCGTTTACCTGTGCGTGTTCAATCTCGGCTGCAGCGAATTCCATCAGAAAATCCCTCTCTGGGAATTAACACCAAGTGTTGGGGTGTCGGGCGGGTTTGCAGAACTGGGGGCACTCTGGAACTTCAGGAAACGCTTCCTGTGGCTGGTTCTGAAAATGGCCACGTTATCAGGGCTTGGATCAGCGACCTGACTCCTTCTGCTCCACACCTGGCACAAAGCTGGATGTCAACAAGGGTTTTTTCCTGCTCATTGGGAATTTCCTCTTTGTGGAGAGGAGGGATGAGGGGGACAGAGAGAGGCAGAGGGAAACATGCTTTGGAGAAAAAGGGATTTTTTGTGCCTCTCACACAGGCTCTGTCAAAACTTGGAGGTCATGTTCCCCCTCCTTCCCTGCAGTGCCTCCTTCACCTGGAATCATCTCCTGAGAGGCCTGGGCTTGTGGCTTCCTTGAATGGAGAAGTTCACCTTGATTCCTTCTTATAGGGATTGTAACAAATCCTCTTTTCTTGCACTGGCTTGTGTATTGTCACCGAATCCCAGAGTGGTTTCAGTGGGAAGGGACCTTAAATGAATCCAGTCCCACCCCCTGCCATGGGCAGGGACACCTCCCACTAGCCCAGGTTGCTCCAAGCCCTGTCCAACCTGGCCTTGGACACTCCCAGGGATCCAGGGGCAGCCACAGCTTCTCTGGGCAACCTGGGCCAGCATCAGCCACAGAGTTTTAGAAACCAGAGTAACCAAAGAAACTGAAAGTACAGAGCACAGTTGAAGGGCAGCAACACACAACTACTGCCAACCTCCAGAACTCTGATTCTGTCCCATCTGAGACTTGAAGCAGCACAGAAACAATTTCCACAGTATCTCTGTGCCACCCTGCCCGTTCCCTGTGGCTCAGTAATCCCCTCGGGAAGGAGACAGCACTACACTGGGGCTCTGAGAGTGGGGAGACCCTGGTACGGGTTGCCCAGAGAAGCTGTGGCTGCCCCTGGATCCCTGAAGTGTCCAAAGCTGGGTTGGACGGGGCTTAGAGAAACCTGAGATAGTGGGAGGTGTCCCCGCCGATGGCAGGGAGAGGGGAATTAAATGTTCTTTAAAGTCCCTTCTCACACAAACCATTCCATCATGAGATTCACCTTCCCCAGCCAAGGGATGTGTCCCACAACGACGCAATTCTGTGGGAATTTCAAGTAGAGCAGTGTATCTCACAGAGGAATATTTTTACATGTCCTATACATGACAGAAAATGCAGAAATCACTGCTCCAGGCCACAGGTTTGTCAGAGATGAAAAATTCAGGACCAGTTCTGTAAGAAACAGGCACCTGATAACAGCATTTATGCTCGATCCCACAGTCAGCCCCAACAGATCACGGTACCTGGATCACACTGAGGAGCCTCTCTGGGCAACTCCCACTTTCCTGGGCTTGGTTCCTTCTTCAAACATTTAACTGACAACCTAAAAGGATGGGGGAAAAGGAAGTTTGTTTGTTTGTTTTTTCCTCCGAGAAAGCAGCAGTTTTCCACAGAAAAATTACATCCCCAGTATTTTGCAGACACAACACGGTGCTGCTTTTGCCCTGGTGGTGTCTCCTGTTAATCCTGAAGAGCTGAAGCCACACACTCTGTGTCTCCCGCTAATTCCAAGTCCTGGAGCAGCTGGATGGTTCCCTGGGCGCAGTCTGGTGGCCCTGACCTCCCACCTGTCCCGGGCCAGCGGTCTGGGGGTACCAGGGGGTCTGGGCGGCTCCAGGGTCGGCGCAGTCGCCTCAACCCCAGCTGCGCTCCAACAGTCCCCCTGAGGGGATCGGGGCCACCTGAGAGACACAGCGTGCCCCGAGAACCTTCCCCTCACAGCCCTGGGCAACAGCAGCACAAGGACGTGGAGCTGCTGCAGAGAGTCCAGAGGAGGCCGCGGAGATGCTGCCAGGGCTGGAGCCCCTCTGCTCTGGAGCCAGGCTGGGAGAGCTGGGGGGGCTCAGCTGGGGAAGGGAAGGCTCCAGGGAGACCTTGGAGCCCCTTCCAGAGCATAAAGGGGCTCCAGGAGAGCTGGAGAGGGACTGGGGACAATGCATGGAGGGACAGGACACAGGGAATGGCTTCCTACTGCCAGAGGGCAGGGAGAGACGGGACATTGGGAAGGCTGGGAGGAGGGGGAGGTCCTGGCACAGGTTGCCCAGTGCGGGGATTAGATGATCAGGGGTAAGAGGCACAGATCAGGTGGTTTCCAGTCAGGAGCCCCAGGTACTGCCCAGCTCCTGCTGCCTTTCATGGAATCACAGGATCATTAAAGTTGGAAAAGACAAAAGAATATCGAGTTCACCTCCCACTGAACAACTTTAAACCCCAAATCAGGCAGCAGTTTCGTTTCTGCTGCAGAAAAACGCCTGATTTACAGGAAATCAGCAGCCGCCCCACGGCCCCCCCCTCCGGCGCGGTTGAAAGAGGAAGCAGCAGCGCCCGCAGAGCCGGGGCTGGATCAGCAGAGGGGCTGCGCTGGGCTTCTCTCACCTCGGGAGCTCCGAACGGAGACGGTAGGACCTTGGGGCTGAGCTGCGGGGCTGGGAGCCGGGATCGGCAAGGAGCAGGCTCTTGTTTGTCTTCTGCTTCCCATGCCGGGGGGTTCCCATGGTTGGGGAGATGCCAGGGAAGGAGCCCCTTCCCTTTGCAGCCCGTGCCCGGCCGCAGGCGGGGCCGATCCTGCCCGGCCCGGGCACCCCCAGCCCCAGGCGGGGTCCGGGGGCTGCGCTCCCCGAAGGCAGGACCGGGGGTGCTGGGACCCTCCTGGGGCCGGGGGTGCTGCCTGTGCCCCGCGCCGCTCCTCAGGGAGCAGGGCAGCGCCGGGGGCATCAGGGGCACTCCTGGCCCCTCCCACTCCCGCCCCAGCCCGGGGGGGACACTTGGTCCTTTTCCTCCCGGGATTCCCCTCCCTTCCACTGGAAACTTCACCGCCCCCAGCGCTCTGGTCCCTGCTGCAGCCCCTCAAAGGCACAGGTGCTTCCAGAGCCCATTGCCCTGGGGAAGGGAGGGAAGTTGGGAGGGGACAGAGCTGGCACAAGGGGCCTGAAGGGACAGTATCCAGCAGTGGCCATGAGCCAGCAGGTGCCATCCCGAGCAGCTGCCCTGCACTCAGAGAGGAATCAGGGGCTGAAGTCCCTCCCTTGCTCTGCCAGCACGCCCAGTTTTCCTCTGCTTCCTCAACTCCCCTGATCTCCCCAGCCCTTTTTCTTCCCTCTGCTTTCCCCCTACTCCGCCCCATCCCACTGGTGGCAGTGCAGGAGCTGCTGGAGGCTCTCCTGGAGCCCATTTAGGCTCTGGAAGGGGCTCCAAGGTCTCCCTGGAGCCTTCCCTTCCCCAGCTGAGCCCCCCCAGCTCTCCCAGCCTGGCTCCAGAGCAGAGGGGCTCCAGCCCTGGCAGCATCTCTGCGGCCTCCTCTGGACTCTCTGCAGCAGCTCCACGTCCTTGTGCTGCTGTTGCCCAGGGCTGGAGGCAGCTCTGCAGGGGGGTCTCAGCTGAGGGGGCAGAGGGGCAGATCCCCCCTGCCCTGCTGCCCACCATCCCTGTGGGATCAGCCCAGGGCATGGGGGGTTTCTGGGCCGGGTCGTGTCCCAGCCTCTCCCCCACCAGCCCCCCAGGTCCTTCTCCCCAGGGATGCTCTCCATCCAGTCCACTCCCAGCCTGTCTTTGTGCCTGGGATTGCCCCGACACAGGGGCAGCACCTGCCCTTGCCCTTGTTTACCTTCAGGGGGTTGGCACTGTCCCACCTCTCCAGCATGTCCAGGTTCCTTTTGCAGGGGAACACGGATTTAGGGCCCAGGTGAAAGCCTGCTCTGCTCCCCACCCCACAAAGGCCCTGGGGACTCTGCTGACGGGGTAATCCCCACTGCAGGAGAAGGGTTGGCCTCCACTGCTCCCTGCAATCAATCCTCAACGTTGCTGGGTTGCCATCTCCTGACTCTCAGCTCTTCTCCTTTAGGATCTGGGGCCTTTCCTTCCCGCTGCTCTTCCTCCGGAATTCTCCAGGGAGTTCCCATCTTCTCCACCCGCCGCCGTGTCCCCCAGGCCTGGGCTGTGACGGTGCTGTGTCCCCTGAGCTGGGCACCTTGGCTGCCCGTGTCCTCTGGGCACTCAAGGCTGGGACCAAGAGGAGCATCTGCTCTCAGGTGGGTGAGGTGACTCAGAGCCCATGGCCAGGGCACACGTTGCCTCAGTCTGCACTGGCCTGTGAGGGAAAGCTGACACTCAAGGCTCTGCAAGGCTCCAGGAGCCCAGTGCCAACCCCTGGGAGCCATCCCTGGCTTGGGGAGGGTCTGGTGTCCCTGCTGGGATGGAAGCTGAAGGCAGGGGAAGGGTTTGTGCATGGAATCAACCTCTCCAGGATCCAGCTGAATTGAGACAGAGACACTTCTCAGGTTTGTGGGACCGTGTAGAAAACCCCAAAGGTGTAAAGGCAGGAGTCCAGGGAGAGCACCAGCTGCGTTAGGGTGAGAATCAGGGAATCACAGAAGGGCCGGAGTGGGAAGGGACCCACAAGGATCCTGGGAGAGATGGAAAGCTTTACTGAAATCCAGAAAGGTCCATCAACTGCCTTCCCTTGATGGGTTATTGTGGAGAAAAGGATATTCGGTTTGATGAGCAGCACATTCCCCTCAGGACCCCGTGCTGGCTGTGACCAGTGACTGCCTTGTCCTTCAGGGGCTTTTCAATAACTCCCAGAACAACCTTCTCCACAATTTTACCAGGCACTGAAGGGACACTGCCAGTCCTGTAGTTCCCAGGGTCATCCTTCCTGCCCATCTTGAAAACTGGGACAATGTTCCCCAGCTCCAAGCGCTGTCTCTGTGCGCTGGGAGCACCAGCTGGAGCAGCCGGCGAGCGGGAGAGCCCTGTGCTGGGAAGAGGGTGCAGGATGCAGGCAGGGGGGTGGGACGGGCACAGGGGCTGTGCTGGTGCTCCAGGGATCCAGCAATGCCCTCGACTCTCTGCACTCACGGATTCAGGAGTCCTGTTGGGAGGACCTGGGCGATGCTGAAGGCAGCACCTTCTCCATGGCTGGTTGTGTGGCCAAGTCCGTGTGTCTGTGTGTGTGTGTGTTGTCTCTGGGATACACACTCAGCTTCAGGGCTGATCCCACAGCAGGCACATCCATTGCCCGGGAAGGAGACCCTGGGCCTTGTGGCATCCCAGCCTGGGCTCCAGCAGCCACGTGGGAGCATCCCCAGGGCCGGAGCTGCTGCAGAGCCTCTTACAGGAGCCTGGGGCCTCTCACAACAAACCTTAGGGAACGTTTCCTTTCTTCCCCCACAGCCATGGCTTCGCAGGACGACACCCAAGAGGGGCATGGAGAGGCACAGCTCCTGGCAGAGGCACTTCAGAAGGAAGGACTGGAGGCTGCATACTGGCTCCCCAAACTCTCCCAGACCCTGGGAGTCCAGTGCACACAAGCCCTGCAACACCTGCAATATGAAGACTACCTTACGTTGGAGCGCCAAGTGCGGCACCCCTGGGAGAAAAGGGCGCTCCAGAAACTCCTGAAAATAAGAGATGACAAAGCAACTTCTGAGGAACAAGAAAAGCAGCACTTGGAGAGGACAAAGCAGACACAAGGAGTGGCCAAGCAAGTCCTGAACGAGCTGAAAGAAATGCTCGACAGCCGCAGCCACAGCCAGGATGTTGTAAGGCAAAGAGCAGAGGCTCTGTGTCAAGCCATGGAGATTCCCAAGGAGTTCTGGCCAGCACTAAAGAAGCCCTTGGCAGATGTGCTGGAGAGCATCCAGAAGCAGCTGGAGCAGCAGGAGTCATCAGTGGGCAGGAGGGAGAACATCCCCGACACGGAGGTGCTGAGGCGGGCGTCGGGGGGACTGGCCCTGCAGGGCATCTACAGAACCAGCAGGGCTGAAGATGTGCTGGCAAAGCGAGAGCAGCTCCTCAGGGTTCCTGAGGGATTCCAGCTCGCCGGTCCAGAGCAAGGGTCGCTGTTTGAGAGCAAAGAGTTCTCCTCCAGTGCAGCAGAATCCACTTTCACCAGGTCCATGGAGCAGCTGGGCTTCAGCATCAGCGTTTCTGCCAAAGCCGGGTTCTGGGGAGTTAAACTGGAAGCTGGTGCAGACCACAGCAGCTCCTCACAGGCACAGGGCACCCACCAGTCCCACTCTGAGCAGAGCTACTTTTGCACCACCAAGTACCAGTACACCCCTCTGGCCTCCTGCTACTTCCAAAGGAACCAGCTTCTCCTCTCGGATGGGGCCCTGCGGGAGCTGCAACACATGGAGCGGCTTTTGAGCCTCACTGGGGAAGAAGACCAGCCCAACCTGCTGGAGAGCTTCTTCAGCAGGTTTGGGTCCCACGTCAGCCAGGGTCCCCTCCACTTTGGGGGCATATTCTGGTGGAAGGCGTCTACAGGAGGATTCAGAGCCGAGCAGAGGGAGGAGATGAAGCGACAAACATCTGAAGCCCTGAACACCTTTGTTGGGGCCAGTTTCAGTGGCTTCGGGGCCAGTGCAGGAGGGGCCACAGATGTTTCCCGGTCCAGCTCACAGGCTTCTGTCCAGGGCAGAGCTGGAGAGAGCTCCCACACAGAGATTCAGCTTCACGTGTTCACCACAGGGGGCCCATCAGAGACCGATTCTCTCTCTCAGTGGGAAAAGGGGCTTGTGTCCAATAACTCAACGTGGTGCATTATCGACCGCGGCTTCCAGCTGATCCCGGTGTGGGAGGTCATCCTGTGCAATCACAGCAGGGATTTTCAGTCTGTCCATGGAATGAGCCGCGCCCTCAGGGCTGCGTACAAAGCACTGACGAATCAGAGCGTCGGCAGCGCTTTTGGAGAGGAACTGGCCAGTGCAGTGGAAGAGGCCAGAGAGTTCATGGAGATTGTGAAGACCTGTCAGGGCATGGTGGATGAAAGGAAACTGCTCACGCTGATGGATCTGAAACAGGATCTGAGTGCAAAAACCAAGGACCCCAGAGTCTGGATCAACGTGTGCCTGTCGGACAAAGCCCTGCAGGACTTCCTGGTGAACACCGTGAGGAGTTGCCAGGAGTCACCTCCAGAAAACTCCACCTCTCTCAAGGCAATCTTGAGGAGCCTCCTGGATCCTCATATCTATTCTGTCAAAGACTTCCCTGAGTCTTCCTTCATTATGCAATGGATCTTCCAGACTGACCACAGGCTTCCCAAAACTCCCAATGTCTCTGAACTTGGAGAGCTCCTGCAGACACTGCAGCAAATGATGGAGCACATCCATGCTGTCACCTACGCACCAGGAACCTCTGCTTCTGCCGTCCAGGAAGCAAAGAGAGAAGCCACCCTGACCACAGGCCTCGCAATTCATTCCTTACTGCGGTCTCTCCAGGAAAGGGCTCAGAAGGACATGGAACTCTTGGTGCTCTTAATTGCGACCAGCACAGGGTACCAGGTGGGAAGCAGCACTTTCCAGCACCTCCTTGGCCATGCAGAAATTCAGTACCTGGCCCAGGCAATGGCAGCGGCACACGAGCAGTACGTGACTCTGAAGGAGCAAGATGCTGCCAGAGCTGAGGCCTCCCTTCTGCTGACGGCTCTGACCGTGACACCCCAAAGCAAAGAGCTGTCCCCAGAGCAGAAGAGGGAGCGGTTGCTTTTCATGGAAGGTCACATGGAAGGCTTGTGGTCCACAGGGACAAAGAATCTCCTCCAGAAGCACAGGGAGTGCACAGACTGGGAGATGCTGGAACGTGAGTTGAATTCCTTCATCGGTGGGAGCTTGGAGGAAACAGGGGATGATGTGAGGATGCAGAACATACTCAAAGACATGGAAGACACTTTCCAAACAACTGAGCCTTCCAGTCCCTCCAAATCCGAGTCAGGTGCCAGCGAATCCAAAGCCAATGAAGCCACTGCAAACCAAGAGTTCCTCCACTTGCTCAAGCGCCTTGGACTAGAAAGTCACTATCCAAGAAAAATGGGCACAGGACATTTCCACATCATCTGCAAGGCATCTCTGCATGACAGCCAGCCCAGCAAGGACCAGGAACTGCCATTTCACTTCCTGCAGAAGCTCTTAACTGTGGACTATCGGGTGAGGTACCTGACTTGCAGAGATGGGAGCAACCCAGGATTTGCCCCCGTGCCAGAAATCACAGAGCAAGAGCACGAACCCTCAGACTCCTTTGAGAACTTTCTACAGGATTTGGAGGAAGCTACCCCAGAAGCTGCAACCAGTGATGGCCACGTGCACCCCATGGACCTCCAGATGGCAATTTTCCACTGTGCTGATGACTTCCTGAGACAGTCCATTGCAACCAAGCTGGCCTTCTGCCAACTGGCACTGCCCCTGCTGGTGCCCAAGCCGGGCACTGCCCAGATCGAGTTCCCGCTCTGGGCCCTCAGCCAAATCAAAAGGGGCTGGAAAGAGGTGGAGAAGTCGGGACAGCAGCCCAGGATGAACAGTCACAATAACAAACTCATCCATCAGGCAGAGACACCCATCGTGTCCTTCATCCGCATTGGCACCTCTGCCTCCTCTTCCAAGTCTCAGCTCCTCAATGCTCTGCTGAGCAAACAAAGACACGACACTTTTTTCCACCGCCATTGCCGAGGCAGCACCAGAGAGCGTTTGCTGATGGCAGGTGTTGTGGAGATCGCCTGGTACTGTCCCCGGGGGAGCCCCGATGACACCTTTGAGTGCTGTGTGGCTTTCTGTAACCTGCATGGAGACGCCAGGGACCACGGAGCGCAGCTGCAGTTCTTACAGGAGATCTCTGCTCTCAACGTGGCTCTTGTCTCCGACTTGGAGCACATGGACGACAGAGGGAAAAAGCTTCTGCGTGAGCTGTGGCAGTCACAAAGGCCTCTGGTTTGTCTTCTCACTGACAAAGAGAAGGTTGCAGCTGGACAATCCAGCAAAAACATAAAAATAGGGATCAGGAAAAAAAACGAAGCAGAAATGTTGGACGAGCTCACCAAAACAATCAGGAATCTGCTGGAAGGGTCCAACCCTCGTTTCAGCCTGGACGCCTGCCTGGACAAAGCTCGCCAGCACGGATTCTTAGTGGATGAAGATCGACCCGAGTGTGTGACAGCCAAAGCAAAGGCAAAGGAGCTGGTGACCCTTCTGAAGAAGGAGAAGCTGTCTGAGATCAAATCCCAGCTCCTGCCTCTTCAAGGAAAACTGTGGCACCAGTGGTGCCAAAAGGACAAAGAACTCACTCGCTTGCAGGAGAAGGGCAACAGGAGCATCGAGCACCATCGGAGCCAAATTGAATCTGAGAAGGCAGCAATTAGAAGAAAGCAACGAAAGCGAGCCTTCCCCCTCAATCAGCTGATGAAACCATTCCTTGCCTTTCTCCAGTCACAGCCAGCAGATACCAAGAAATACTTCCTGCAGTGGATGAAGGTCTTTATGGACGACCTGTCCTCTGGTCGCCTTGAGGAACTGAGGAGAGACTATCACAAGTTATGGTCTGAAATCCTGGAAAAAAAGAAAAGCAAGGAAAAAACCAGTCCAAACTCTGAGTTGCTGAGTAGGTTGGAGGCCCTCTCTGATGAAATCAACGATTCATCTGTTGGCCTGGAGCATCTGCTGAGAGAGGTAGGGCAGATCTATGAAGCTCTGCACTTAAGGAACTCAAAGAATGAAAATGTTGTCAAACTGCCCCAAATGGCAGCAGAGCTGATGGTTTTGGGGTATCCTGTGGAGCTGCTGGATGGAGATGCTTCTTACCTGCCCCTGTGCTGGGTGGGAGCAATCTTTGACAGCCTCATTGAGAGGCTGGGGGACAAACGAGTGTTTGTTCTCTCCGTGCTCGGCATCCAGAGCACAGGGAAGTCAACCCTGCTGAATGCCATGTTTGGGCTGCAGTTCAATGTCAGCGCGGGGAGATGCACCCGGGGAGCGTTTATGCAGCTCCTGCCACTGGACGAGCAGCTGCAAGAGGACGTGGGCTTTGATTACATGCTGGTTGTTGACACAGAGGGCCTTCGTGCCATAGAGATGGCCAATAAACAGTCCCTGAACCATGACAACGAGCTGGCCACCTTTGTCATCGGCATTGGCAACATGACCCTGATCAACGTCTTTGGGGAAAATCCCTCAGAAATGCAGGATGTTCTTCAGATCGCTGTGCAGGCTCTTCTGAGGATGAAGAAAGTACATCTTTCCCCCAGCTGCCTCTTTGTCCACCAAAACGTGGGAGAAGTTAATGCCAGTGAGCAGAACATGGAAGGACAAAGACGTTTGCAGGAAAAGCTGGATGAAATGACCGTGGCAGCTGCCCAGCAGGAATGCTGTGACGTCTCCTCCTTCAGCGACGTCATCCGCTTTGACGTGAACACCCACATTCACTACTTTGCTCACCTGTGGGAAGGAAACCCCCCAATGGCACCACCCAACCCCACCTACAGCCACAACGTCCAGCAACTGAAGCGCAAAGTTCTCCAGGCTGCCAAGGAGTCCCAAGGCAGCATTTTGACGCTCTCCAGCCTGAAAGTCCGTATTGGTGACCTCTGGAATGCTTTGCTGAACGAGAACTTTGTTTTCAGCTTCAAGAATTCACTGGAGATTGCTGTGTACAGGAAACTGGAAACTGCCTTTTGTCAGTGGACCTGGAGGCTGAGGAGTCACATCTTAGATGTACAAATGAGACTCGACAACAGAATTCGGAACGGGGACTTGCAGCAAGTCACCAGAGAACACCTGGAAGGGCTCGTGCATGAGACAAGTGATGCCATCTTGACAGACATGGAAAAGTATTTCAGGGAAGACAAACACTGTGAGATGCTGGTCCAGTGGAAAGGCAGCACAGAGCGGAAACTGGATGCACTAAAAGAGAACCTTGTTCTTGAAACTCGGAAGAAATGTGAGAATCTCATTGAACTGCAGAAGACCCAGAGTAAACTGGATGCAAGGAAGTCGGAATATGAAGACGAGCTCTTGAGAAAGAGCAGGGAGTTGGCTCTGACTCTGAAAGGCAAGAGCCTCAGTGAGAGAGAACTGAGAGACAGCTTTACTTCTCTCTGGGCCGAGTGGATTACTGAAGTCTCCCGTGCTGCTCCCCCACTGGAACGGGTGGATATTGATGCGGAAATAGAAGATGTCCTTCTGGAGCGTTTTACAGAGCCTGGTTTCCATGCACGGATCAGGTCATTTCCCAAACACACAGGATTTCCCTTGGACTTGAAGAAACATGTCACAAAGAAAAAGGGTTGGAAAACATACCTCCCATGGAATGTTTCCAATGCTGATGTGAACTTGCAGGACATCACAGACAACATCATAGATCGTGTGAGGGCAAACATTGATAAGAAGGAACAGGAGAAACGGGATTACAGTCGATCCTTTATTCATGAAATACTCCATGAAGTACAGGAAGGTGTGAACAACGTCCCCAGCGATGCACCATTTAGGGTTAACAAAGATTACAGCATAGATTTATCTCTGTACCTCTGCAGAAAGGCAGCAGAAAGGTTTAAAGCCATGCACGAAGCATTCCAGAAGGCAAATGACCCAGTCACCTACCTGAAGAGCAAGAGAGAAGATTTCTTCACATGTTTCCAGATGTCCTGCCAAGGAGCCACTTCTGTCACAGCTTTTGCTGTTTTCCTTTGTGACAAGCTTGCCCCAGCTCTTCGCCGGGCCGTCTATGAGAGGACGGCTAAAGCCATCGCTGGGGACATGCAGGGGAAAGTCCCAGATTTCCAGGGCAACAGAGCCAATCTGGATGTTTATATCCTGAGATTCCTGGCACAAGAACAAAACTTTCAGTATTTCAAGCAGTACTTTCAACACCCAGAAGAGTTTTTTCAGTGGTACATTGAGAGACGTGTTGAGAGTTACTGTTTAGGTGAGAGCCGGAGGCTGGAGAACTTTTTAGATTCCTCCCTTGATGTTCTCTATGGAAACATCCTGTCAGCTGTTGCTTCATCAACCCAAAGGGTCAAAGACAGAAAAGACCAAAAGGACAAAATCTCTCTCTGGCTGGATGAATTTTGCAGGGAACTGACAGAGCTGATGAACTTGCCCAGAAGTGACCTGAAGGGCCTCGAGCATCAGGAGATCACAGACATTGAGTTCCTGAGCAAAGCCATGGCAGAAGCACTGCCTGCCATGGACAATGAGCTCAGAGGAAAATTTGCTGTTGCTGATCTGAGCTGGTTTGAAAGGAAGCCTCACACCATCCTGGTGGAGCAGTTTTCGGGGTGCTGGGAGCAGTGTCCCTTTTGTGGGGCTGTCTGCACAAACACCATGCAGGGACACGATGGAGACCATCAGCTTCTCTTCCATCGACCAGAAGCTTTGAACGGATGGAGGTTCCGAGGAACAGAAGAGCTGGTCATTGATATTTGTTCCAGCAGTGTTGCAAGTGACCGTGGATTCTACCGACACCCAGAGGATGACCTCAGCTATCCCTACAAGAGATACCGGGATGCAGGACCTCCTTTCTCCAACTGGAAAATTCTTCCTGATCCATCCACACAAGCCTACTGGAAATGGTTTGTGTCTCATTTCAGGACAGAGATAGAAACCTGGCATGGTAAGAAATTTCAAGGCAGAGGAGAAATCCCTGAGGCCTGGCAGAGAATTACCAAGGAGGAAGCACTTGCTGAGCTGGACAAGCCTTAGGCCATGTTGATGGAAGGAAGATGAAAGAAGATGAAGGAAGAACCTTCACGGCTTTGCAGTTGAGCAGAACAGAGTACAAGGCTGTCCACAAAATGCTGTTTCAATGCTTATGCTCCCAAGGCCCATGAAGACAATGGGATCCAACTGCTCACAAACTGGGTGAAATAAGGCGCGTTACTCCGGCCGTCGCTCAGAAACTCCCTCGCTTCCTGATCAGCCAGAATCCTCTTCCCTTCCTGCTGTAAACATTTCCCTCTGCTTTGCCCTTGAGCAAAAGAAAAACCCACCCTGGGCTGCTCAGTCCCATGGCCAAGATGGAGCCCAAGTGCCAGGGGAAGGGCAAAGGCAGCACGAGAAAGCCCCAGTTGGATGAGCTGCTCTGAGGAAATAAGGGGCAGTGAGCAAAGCCCAGCTTTCCTGCAGCACTGCAATCCCAGCACAAAGGGGGAACACTGTGGTACTGGGAAGATCATGGGACCCTCCAGTACCTGTCAGCCGAGGGACAATCCAGGTGTTCTGCTGCAGAGCCAACAACCACGTCGAACCCCCTCCTCAGGTGCCAAGCCACGACCCCCCCCTCCCGTTAGGTACAGCAAGAGAACTTTACACCAACCAGAAACAAAAGGTAATTACGACTGAAGCCACTCCAGCTCCACCTAAACACAAAGAATTCGTATGAAAGTAAGTTGGGGAGAGGGGGGAAATTGAGGAAGACTCCCCTGAACCTGCTGGGATCAGCTGAGGGGTTGAACCTGCCTCCCCCCCACCCCAGGGACGCCTGTGGGGTGAGAAATACACTCTGGGCAGGTTCAACGGTGCTTTAAGGAGCAGAGCTTTGGTCGGGCTCCCCCCAGAGGATATTGGCAGATTGCTTCGTGTTCCACCTTGGCCTTGCTTCCCAGAGCCCAGATTGCTTTCAAACACAGTTTTGCAGCCAGACGCTGCCGCCAACGCCCACGAACCTTATTAACCTGTCCCAGGCAGTGCTAATAAAGAGTGTGATTCCAGGAACTGGGAGAGGAGTCCTTTCAGTCGCCAGCAGCAGGTCCCACCTTGGCAGGGGCAGGGTCGGCTGAGGGCAGTGCTTTAACTCCCTGCTCCGGAGGGGCCCTGCGTGTGCCCAGGGTAGCCGTACCATTTGTTTGTTTGTTTTTCTTCCAAGAAAGCAGCGGTTTTCCACAGAAAAATTACATACTCTGTATTTTGCAGACACAACACGGTGCTGCTTTTGCCCTGGTGGTGTCTCCCGCTAATCCCAAGCGCTGGAGCCGCACCCTCCGTGTCCCAGCAGCCGCTGTTCTGGAGCAGAGCGCAGCCCGGCCCGGCCCAGCCCCGCTGCCTGCACAGCCCGGGGCCGCTGCGCGCCGGGACAGTCCCCGCGGCCCGGCCCGGCCCCTGTCGGACACTTCCCTTGGGCCCAGCCCGGTGACCCTGAGCTCCCACCTGTCCCGGGCCGCGGTCATGGGTTCCCGGGGGTTCCTGGAGGGGTCCTGGTGTGTCCAGTCGGCTCCAGGGCCGGCAGGGCCGCCTCAGCCCCGGCCTTGCTGCCCAACGATCCCCCTGAGGGGATCGGGGCCGCCTGAGAGTCACAGCGTGCCCCGAGAACCGTCCCCTCACAGCTGAGACACAGCCCGCCCTCACAACCCTCCCCTCACCCCTCACACACACAGCCCGCCCTCACAACCGTCCCCTCACCCCTCACACACACAGCCCGCCCTCACAACCGTCCCCTCTCCCCTCACACACACAGCCCGCCCTCACAACTGTCCCCTCTCCCCTCACACACACAGCCCGCCCTCACAACCGTCCCCTCACCCCTCAAACACACAGCACGCCCTCACAAGGTTCCCCTCCCTCACAAACACAGCCCCCTCACACCGTCCCTCACCCCTCACACCCACATCACCGCCCTCACAACCGTCCCCTCACAGCCGAGAGACACAGCCCGCCCTCACAACCGTCCCCTCTCCCCTCACACACACAGCCCGCCCTCACAACCCTCCCCTCTCCCCTCACACACACAGCCCGCCCTCACAACCGTCCCCTCACCCCTCACACACACAGCCCGCCCTCACAACCGTCCCCTCACAGCTCCATCCACAGCCAGCCCTCAGTCCAGCCCCTCAGCTCCAGCCCCTCAGCACTCTACCAGTCCCCTCTCAAGCTCAGCCCTGGGGCAGTTCAGCACTCTCGGGCTCTAGTGCTGGGATTAGACCTTCAACAGCTTTACTGAAGCTGCAATCCCGTGTGCTCCTTCTGGATCGGGGCAATGCCAGACACAAACCCCCCCTGGGAGTGCAATGGATGGAGAGCAGCCCTGGGGAGAAGGACCTGGGGGTGCTGCAGGGGGAGAGGCTGGACGTGCTCCGGCCGGGTGCTCTGGCCCCAGAACCCCCCGTGCCCTGGGCTGATCCCACAGGGATGGTGGGCAGGAGGGCTGAGGGGGATCTGCCCTGTAGGAGGCCTGCCCAGGGATGCAGGGGACGCACTGAGGGCAGGGAAGCCCAAGGGGCATGTGCCAAAATAGACAACCCCATTGGTTACAAGGTCACGTGGTTTTTAGGGATAAGAGGGAGCACTGAGTTTGAATAAAGCTCTTTGATTGTGGTCTCATCGGAGAGCGGAGTCCATTTCTTTATCATATAAAGTCCACCATGCAACACATGGTGCCTGAACTCGGGGCTTAGGACCTACACTAGGCCAGATTAGAACACCCTGAATCAGGGGAATATTGGTAAGTTCCAGGTATCGTATCAGTTTTATGATACAGGAATTGTTCACCAAAAAAAACCTAGACGTCTTTAAGTCGTCGTCTCAGCCGGTACTGAGGGACACAGATAGTACAGAGAGCTCAAAAAATTAGGGAAAAGCACACAGGAACAGAAAAGAAGAAAAAGAAGAAAAGAAGAAGAGAAACAGAACGGCGGACAGCGAAAAGCGGAGCCGGGGACCACGCTGGCAGAAGTGGGCAGTGAAGCGGCGAAGCTGAGTGAGTACCAGCACTTCAACTCCCAGCCCCACCACAGCATCCGGACCTCAGCACCGCACCAAAAACAACCCAGTCGCCCACAGCCGCTGGAGAAGCAGGAGCAGAGACCCGGACAGCACCGGTCGCCGACAGAGACGCCGAAAAGAAAAGAAAGCCGCGAAAACAGCCAATCCAGAAACCAAAAGTAAAACTCAGCAGCCAAACAAAGGAC